ATTTCCCAGGAGGACTATTATGAAATATTAAGAAGTTCATGAATATTATTTTTCTCTTGAGAAAACCTTTGGAGAATATTCCCTTACAGTGCTGATACAAAGGTGAAGGAGCAGGTAGAGGCTAGAACTCCATAGAAAACTCAACAGAGCATTAGGGGCTTCATCCTGCAGCTTTGAAGAAAAAATGAATTTGAACCAATCTCACATCTCAGGATTATGGTGGAATGGATATTTAGCTTTGGATTTCAAGCATCTCCCATTTTCCAACCTGTCAATCTGTGGAGTGTCAGACGGCATTTTTAGAAATACATAACACTACTCTGAATCTTGACACACAATTCCAGAATGTTGAGACAGAGGAAAAGGTAGACGTGAGTACCTGAGGGATTTTCTTAGCTTTAGCTGTGGGCAAGCTTAAAATATGCTGCTTCTCTCCAGCGTGAAAGAGGCTGCAAGAGGAACAGTTCATCATAATTGTGTGAAGACGAAGTTAAAAAAAAAAATAAAACCAAGAAATAGTGTGTCAGCCTGTGCTCCTGCTTGGCCCTGTCCTGGGGACTTGGGTGTTGACATCTTATTATATGGAGAGCACTCCACTAATTACTGGCCAGTCTATGCATCCTATCCTATAGCATAGAGGTAAAACCCTGATTAAAAATGAGTGCCCTGAAGGCCACTCAGTTAGCTCACTTGTGGTCAGGAAATAAAATTTGAAAAGTGTCACTCTAGCTGGAATTCTATTGAAACATTTCTAACTTCTTATAATTGAAATACAGAAATTGACCATCTAGGGCAGAGGAGAAATAGCTGTTTCCCGAGAATAGAATCTCAATGAAGAAGCATTGATAAAATATTCTGTATCAGTGACTCTTCTGCCTGCCTGGGCTGGCAGCCTTGGAGAAGCTCTGTGGATATGGACCACCATCGCACATGAGTTAAGTCCACAAAGTCTGATGAAGGGAGCCTTTCAGAACACACTCAGCCAGTGTCAATTCTGACCTAAGCAGAAGAAAAGAATGAAATCTCTGTAAATGTTATATTCATCTCCTGGGGCCTTCCTGAAACCCAGAACTGCATAAGACTCTAAGATGTAAATTACACCATGTAAATCTCCTAACTTACTAACTAGCAATAAAATGTGAATGTCAACTGAAGTGTAAACTGAAAAGTGTTGAGATTGAGGATGCTAGAAAAAGAGTAGTGGTGGAAGTTGATGCTGCAGAGATTTCCTGTAGGTAGAGTGTTCATTACGCAGGGTGTGGACCATGTTCAAATCCCCAGCATCCACAGCCCATCAGATGTTGCAGTTCCTTATAAGCTCATCACTCAGAAGGCAGAGAGAGGACCCTCAGGTTGAGCTGGCTATCAGCCTAGCTCAAATCTCTTAGTCCTATCCAGGTAAGTGCCAGGCTCAGCAAAAGACTCCTACTTAATAAAGCAGATGGAGAGTAAGGAAGACTCCCATGTCAGCCTGCTCCCTTCACATACATATATGTACTCAAATATTCACACACATGCGTGCACCTGCACAGGTTCAAACAAGCATTCACATATGTAAAATACACACACACACACACACACACACACACACACACACACACACACAAAGTGAAAAAGAAACCAGATAGTAATAGGAGTAAATGAATAGCTAGGGGGAGTAGAGGGGCCACCTAGGAACCCGAAACATTGTCCGGTAATAATGGCTGTTGCACGTTTTTACTCATTCTTTCAGGAATGTATAGGTAAGCCTGTATTGGGTCAGGAATCTATTGCTGAAGTTTTGAAAATGTTTTTCACTACAGGCTTGATTCATGCGGTTGTCTTTTAGAGTTTTAGCTTTTCTTTCTCCTTTTCCTTTTCACTTAATTTAGTTTTCATTACTTTTGAGAGGTCTTACTCTGTGTTTCAAGTGGACCTAAAATCCATAGCCTCCAGCTTCAACTTCCTCAGTTTTTAGTATACTGACATGTTCCACC